CATTGCACAGTGGCATTAAGTGCCGTAATGTACACCTCTGCCTACCCCTTCGGGGATAAAAAGGCGTGATGTTATGTTATGTTTTCTTTCCCTTTCCCAGGTTATATTCTGCAAAAATTACAATCAGTTACAACCGGGCTATGTCTTATGAAGGCTACGGGGAATCGAAACTTTTGGATAAGCTATAGTCGATGGGTAGATTTTAGATGATAGCGACTGGTCTAGGATTCTAGGGAGTTAGCCATTAACTAAAATGGTATGATATTTCGTCTATTTATGTTTAAAAGGTTTACCTTAAATGCTTCAGCACTGACGACATCGGCAGGATGGACGCTTGCTGTGATCTCATCGGGTTTTGCCAAACCTGAGGAAAGTATGTCAAAAATGTATAAATCATTAACCAAAGCTGCAGTGACTAAACCTATAAATTCAGAAATAGATAACAATACACTATGCGAGTCACGTAGGTCCTAACTTTTGTAGAATGCGAACACGAGGCTATATATGGCTTTTTTTAAGGGGGAAAATCATCGAATGACTACTCCCGCATGGGTGAGGCGGGAGGGAGTGTCAGACTCTTACTGACTAAAAACTACCCCTGCCCTTCGAGCCGGAGCCCCGGCAACCCGTTAAGTCCTCCGCGGCTCCGTATCGGCATCAACCGTGTTGAGCCCCATCCGCGGTGATTGGGCCCCATTCGTGGTGAGGCTATGTATGGCTAAGCTTTTCTGTAACTTTCAATCCTATAGATCGAAATGAACTCGATCGCGGTCCGCCATATTAAGTATTATATTTTTCTTTATTATAAAAAACGTTGCCCCACACTAGGATTTTCTCTTGTGTCGTGGGTGCGTTTACAAACATACAAGTTCACATACGCATGACACCCATACCCGGAACAACAATCTGTGGATCACACAAAGAGTTGCTCCGTGCGGGAATAAAACCCGCGACACGTGGCACGGCAGCCGGTTGTCCAGCCACCGCACCAATCGTGTCGTCAAAATATCTGTATGTATTATTGGTATTGGTTGTAACTTGTCAGAATAATCTTGACCAATGACAGACGACAATACGATCAAGTTCATACCGAAAGTTCGAATTGACAGTTAGAGAATAGCCTTTATTAATTAATACCTAGACACTGGCAGTATAGTCGACAACATCATATTGGAGACTCGGTTGCCAAGGAAAGAGAAAAAAAAATTAATACCTACTTTGCAATATTTGCGTTTAAAGTGATGGTATTTGTCGATACATGATAGTGACGAGCGTAAATTTTTTTTATATCGCAAGACTACCATCACTACGCATAATAAAAACTTTACATTATGAAACATTTTTCAGGTTTTCCCCATTGATAAACATTTTTACAGTATTTAAACTGTGACTATATCTTTATTGTCTTTCAACTACAACGATGCATGTGTCAAGTTGATCAAGTTTTTGACATTATGCCGATAATTAAATTAATACAGCGAGGAAGAATACAGTCACGATCCGTGCCTGACTAAATTAAAAATAAACTGAACACGTTGCAGTGCGAAACGATTCGTGCAAACTAATTTGGAATCTTTTGAATCGAAATTTTTGAAAACAAAGAAAATGTTTAACAGCAGTTTCATTCTGTGTATAGACATTGAAATAGAAATAATATATTTGGTTTTTTTTTTTAAAAAAACTATCTCTAGCTCTTAAATATTAAGTAAGTAAAGTAACCTCTAAACTAAAATTGGCGACATTTAATGCCATTTTGTCTTTCACCAATCTAAAAGTGACACCTAACAGAACCTACAAGTTAGGGGTTAGTTTAGGTGATACGTCACGATAAGTAACTTTTAGTTAAGAGATGGTTTAGAGTTTCGAATAGTAAAACGGCCATTAGAGTCTGCTATCTTATCCTTTTAGGAAACGATAGTTTTAGTTGTTGTTTATGATAGATGAATAAGATAAACATGACACAAAAATGAAATGACTAAAATGCTTTTTTATTTGATGAGGGGACACAATGACTTCTCCCGCCTTGGCTGAGGCGAGAGAGAATACCAGACTCTTACTGACTAAAAACTACCTCGTTCCTACCCCTGCTTTGAGGCGGAGCCCCGGTAACCCTAATCCGGTAACACGAAAGCAAGAACCAACTCCGTTCGCCCTAGCTGTCGCGAGAGACACTCCGGGCGTCGGGGATCGCGAGATGATCTCGGGCATCGTAAGCACGAGCCTGCGGACAGCGAGACTAAATAACTAACTCGCCATCCGACCAGAACCAGGTCCGAGCGAATGGCACGTTGCTTTCCGCGCACACCTCAAGGAGGCATCAGACCACCACAGATGGGGCCCAATAGGGCTGATGGCACCACGAAGCCGCGAAGGGGTTAACGGGTTATCGGGGCTCCGGTTCTAAGTGCAGGAGTAGGGACGGGGTGTTTTTTTAGTCACTATGAGACTGACATTCCCTCTCGCCTCACCCCGGTGGGAGAAGTCATAGGATGATATGATTTTCCCCTCTTAAAAAAAGAACTAACTCCGTTATTGGTTACATTTCCTTCATAACTTCACCCAAGATGGAACAATAGGTAGGTACCTACTTACATAAACAAAGTATATGACGTCACAATACATAAATCCTTAAAGCCGACATAATTGTCTTTTACGATACATATTAATAGTTTAGTTAACATGTTGTTTAATTATATAATTATATCGTTACTGAATTGAGTGTGAGTGTCTCAATAGTTGAGTGGTTTTTAGATGCGACTGCTGACTACTAGAGATGGGCGATTTTTCTTTTATTTTTAAATATTTATTAAATTTATTAATGTTTTACATTAGGTTTGATGGCGAATACTAGGAATTTATATAAATACTAGAGGTAGAGTTAATTAATTATATTAATACTAAGGATTTCATTAACATCAGCAGAGCTCTTAAATATTATGACCTAAAAATCTTACAGGAGATCTAGTCTAACCAAGATAGTGGTATCACTCTCAGCGGGGTATGAGAACAAGCTGTGTGTGTCGGTCCATATAATCGTATGATTGGTTCAGACTCAAAGCCAACCCCGATTAGGCAAAGGTCAGAAGAAAGAAGAGGAATTAATAGAGGAATTAATAGAACTGAAGAAAATTGGAACACCTCTTTTTATATTTTAAAGTATATAGCTTTTACCCGCGGCTTCGCTCGCGTCACAAAAGGATACAAAGTAGCCTATGTGACATATACCAATACAGACAGCGCCATCTATACCAATACTTTTGTTTTCCCTCGGGAATATCAATTTTTTCCGGGATAAAAAGTACATTACAGTTATTTAATCCAGACTTCTAACTTTACGTCTGCAAAAATTCAAAGCAATCGGTTCAGTAGCTATGGCGTGAAAGCAGAACAAACATACAAACAAACTCACTTTCCAATTTTTAATATTAGTAAGGATTAAGTATACAGTATGTATGTAAGACTGCCTCGTTGGCCGAGTGGTCGTAGGTGCTACTGTCGGGCAAGGTGTCTCGGGTTCGATTCCCGGGTCGGGCAAAGAATTACTGGGTTTTCAAATAATCTCAATAGTATCACGGAGTCTGGAAATGTGCCCGGTATATGGCAATAAGCTCACCCGCTATTACACGGAATTCATAACATAAACTAGTGAAAAATGGTGTTACATTGCACAGTGGCATTAAGTACCGTAATGTACACCTCTGCCTGCCTCTTCGGAGATAAAAAGCGTGAAGTTATATCATGTATGTCGTTACGTATGTATGTATGAAACAATATTTACCAGCTGAGATAAACCCGTTGGCCAGGGCGAAGGCCAGCCTGCCGCCGCCAATGAATCCGATCTTCATGATTTCGCTTACTGTAACAAAAAAAACGTTTATTAAATATTGTCTTACTTCAATATCGTCTTGATGTTACATAGGTTCCTGGAATCTCTTTGATCTGTTTAATTTATATAAGTTCATAACTATGTAGGTACATACATGGCTAGGTATTGGCTACAGTAAACTGTTTTACTGAGTTCTATTCCACCAACTACCATTATAACCCTTTCATTTTAAATCCATAATGGAGGTAGTTGAGAAAAATATTAAATCATATTATATAGTCATTCCGATGAAGTGTGTACCAAATATCAGATCGATATGTCGTTAAGAAGGGCGTAAAATTCCAATTATTATATTTGACCTAAACAAACAAACTGGCCAAGATAAATAAAATAATTTAAAACATGTAATTTACGTTACGTTACCCACAAAGTAGGGACTCAAATGAAAATATTTCACCGTACGATTCATACATAACGCTTAAACTTGAAAAATTTTATCTATATCTATCTATCTATATATCTATTACTTACATATAATAAAATCGTAGAAAAGTCAAAACTGTACATTAAATATTTAAAAAAAAAACTTGAGGCGTGATGTACAATCGATACCGAAGCCAAAAATATGATTTTCGTAATTTTTGTCTGTATGTATGTCCGGGATGATTTCCAATAGTACTGCATGGATTTACTTCAAATTTCTGACTGTCGGAGTGTCGGTGAAGTCAATTGAGCTTGTTATTACTTGTTATTCATTAATGTTCGTTAAATTTGAAGATAAATAAAGTTTAAGATGTTGCCAATGCTAAACTATGAGATAACAGTTGATAACGGATAGAAAAATATATAAATTTGTCGACCCCAAATGAAGGGCAACATTTTTTGTATGATAGACAAGCAAAAGTATGATAAACAACGAATAAATGAAGTATTGTAGATGGTAGCGAAAATGAAAATAAAAAGTATACCTAACATATTTTTATATTACCTATAACTTTCATGAGATAAGCTAAATTAATTATTATGTTTACTAGCAGGTGTGTGACTGTTGACGAGGAACTCGACTAGTTTCAAGCCATAATGGGGGCTCATATTCATGAGCAGAATTTCGCGACACACAATCGCTGCGAGTGTCGCGCTGGTGACACAATGCTGCCCATGAATGTACATCCGCTAGTAATTTAAATATGGGACTCAAATAATAATTGTTCAACAATCGATATCTCGACAATCTATATATATATAGATCGAATCGATAACCAATAAAACTATGTAACTAGAGAATTGTATTGTAAACCTGATTGATAAAGAGTAACCTATGGAGTTTCTTGCTCGTTCTGCTGCATAGAAATCTACACCGTGAAATGAGCAACTAGCTTCACTTCAAAATGTTTGTTGTTGACGTTCAAATATCCCTTCCTGGTCTAATTGAAATAAATGATTTTGACTTTGAAAAATAATAATAATAATAAATACTTTATTGCATTCCATAATGTATTTTACAACAGTTGGCATTGTTACAAGGTACAGAAACAATTATGGACCCTGTCGGGCACAGCAAAAGTAGTTCTTTATAGAGGAGAGGATGAAGAGCACTTTTCTAAAATTTAAAATATTGTATACAAGTTGGAAATTTTACAGTTTTGAGTTCAATTATAGTTATAGGTATTCAATACAATTATATTAAATTGTCTATATTTATTATAATATATATTTATTTATGTTCGTTACATTCATTTATGTCAATAATATTTATTTATATTAATTATATTGGTTTACATTCGTCATAATGGATAATATATCATAATTAATAATTATGATATTGTAACGTTTACGTAGGTACTACTACGTTACAATATCATAATTAATAATTATGATTAATAATTAATATTTATTTATATAATAGATACATGCACTTTTACAAATACCAATAGGGGGATTCAGAGCAGTCCAGATATTATATTAACGTAACCTATCAGTAAATAAGCCTAAATAAACAGCTTGAAGTTCAAACCTAAAGTTTGTCATGTTTTACATAAAATATCATTAATAAACAAAGCTATTAATAGACGTGACGTAGAAAATGATTGATGATTGTTCGAGATTGGTGTCGTGGAAAATAATCCTCGGTGTTAGTATGGAGTGCTATAAATAAATAACGCATTTCCTCAATCAACAACAATGTCACGAAAACCTTATAAAATGAACAAACGTATGAACAAACCAATTCTATCATTATTTTTGAAAACACAATAAAACCAAAAAAAAATATAACCAATTTAAACAGTGCAATAAAAATTCCATTGCAACCAATTCGCTTATTAAAAAAAAATGCCAAAAGAGTTGAATGTCGGCCATGATTAAGGAAAAACACTGCAGTATGTTATATGATTGTAAAGAGATGAGCTAAAAATACTTTATATTACGAAACTCACGTTCAGTGACGTAAAAATTTGGCGAATGATTTAAATTCTTGCGTCTACGTGCGTCGCTTGAGGCGCACAGCTGCCGACTGAGCACGAAGCTAAGAGGTTACTCGTTATCGGTATTATCAGTAAAGTTATCGACACAAACACAACAATCGATATAGAGGACGCTTTTATACATATTTGCTATAATTATACATATACTATTTGTGTATAATGTTACCATCCAAAGTGGCAAATGTAAATTAAATTATGTATCTTGTTAGGATTATACTACAATGAAAAAACAAATAGCACCAAACACGATGCAGCATATATCAAACAAATAAAAAATAGTCAATAAAAACACAGTGAAACAGGGGTAGGCTGCGCGACATCGCCGCGACCGCGCACGCTGCTCATGAGGAAGAACCCCTCTGTGGTTCGAAACTAGTAGAGCTTTTCTCAGTATATTCACGTCAGTAGCTGCTAGCGATTTTTAGTTAATTTAGTGTGTCTCACGATAGGTATTATAAAAACAGTGAAACAATAAAAATGCTGCTAATGCTACAAGGAAGGAAATAATTTAAAACAAATAAAAATAAATAAACTTTATGTATAGCCATTTCACCCACAATTTTTTGTTGTTTGTTTTTTCATGTTTTTTTAAGGGGATAAATAAATGACGGCTTTCGCCTTGGATGAGGCGAAAGACAGTGTCAGACTCTCAATGATGTTTTAACCGCAAACCACCTGTATTGGAGACTCATTTGCCAAAGAAGAGAAGAAAAACAATCGCAAACCACAAGTTATGCGTTTAATGGACAAAGTTAAGACTATCGTTTCCTGTAACTGTAAGTGTACTTTCAACAATCTATATATATAAAAGGAAGTCGTGTTAGTTACACCACTTATAACTCAAGAACGGTAGAATAGATTTGGCTAAAAATTGATAGGGAGGTAGCTTAGAGCCAGGAGACGGACATAGGATACTTTTTAACCAATACTTTTTTATTTACTTTTTACCGAAAATCACGAACGGGGACGGGAAAAATGAGATTACGCGTACGAAGTCGCGGGCAGAAGCTAGTGATTTCATAAAAATAATGTTATCTAGTTCACTTCGATCAAATTATCATTACTTAAGTACCTATGTAATATTTTGTTATGGGTTTGTGGCACCGACTTCTTACCATTGAGAAGAGTAACTAACCAAAGAGTAACTTATAAGCACTAATAATAGTACTTTTTTTTGTTTTAATTCGTTTTTTCCTTTTGTTTTTTTTTTACTTTTTAGTTTTTAAAGTTGTTTTTTTAAACGCATTTTATAGTTAGATGTTTAGAAACTTAATTATTTATTTGTGAATTAATTTTTAAATATGCAGTTAAATTATAATTAGTTACCTACTTATACGTAGGAAACATTAATTTTTATTTACTTATTGTTATAAATAATTTCGGTATGTTTAAACTAATCCATTTATGCGATTTACTCATTTCTTCGACTCGACTTAAAGCATCTATTGATAAAACATAGATACAATTACAACTAATTTATAACTTAAGTGGGTATTAGTTTTATGTTAATGACAGACGAAATTAATCTTTCTTATCGGATAAATAAAGTTTACAATCCTTGACTGATATTGTATTCAAACAACACTGAACTCGTAGGGTTAATAACTTTCGAAATAGGAATAAGAACTTTAATTTATAGCCTGTAGGATACAATTTAGTTATATTTAATTGAAATATGTCTTTTTATTGTGTGGCTACCACAAATATGACCTAGGAATAAAATAAGATCCAGCGGGGTAACGATTAGATCACCATATAAGTCCCGTAGCCTCGGGTTCAGATCAACAGAAAATTTGCTCAAAACAGAAAAATTTAAAAGAGTTTAAAGTAAACTAAAGCAAGAGTTTTAAAGTTTTTTAGTTTTTTTAGTTTTAAGTAAAAACTTCTTTATATATCTATGGGAGCAAGAGTTGGAACGGGCTGAAATTTACTCAGTGAGAGTAGATACTCCCTCTCTTCTCACCAAGGGCGGAAGGAGTCATTTGATCGTTTTTTTTTTATTTATAAACTTCTGTTACCAACACACAGCGCCATCTAGTATAATTTAACCGAAACAACCACAACTTCAAACAACTATTATGAAGATTGAGCACACATACAAATTACCAAGCCATCCGCCTTTATAGGCAGAGTCGTCTTCGAACAAATCATTCTACTAGCTAGAGGATCAGAGTTCGGTAGCCACGCAGCCTTCTCTGAACCTAAGTACGACTACCTTCAGTTCGATAGCCTAGCGGTCTTCTGGAATTAACCCGCTAGGGGAGGTCTGAAAAACGATAGCCACGCAGTCCCTTTCATCCCTCCACTTAGGGTTGCAACTATCTTGATTAGTTTATAGTAATGCAACAGTGAAGTTGCAAATAAAAAAAAATCATCAAGAACACTGGGGCTTTAATTTCACAACCAGCAACCCTACACTTCTGTATGCGCGCGCCTCAAAGAGCCATCAGACCCCCACAGATGGGGCCCAACAAGGCCGATGCCGATTTGGAGTCGCGGAGAACCTAACGGGTAACCGGGGCTCCGGCTCGACGTGCAGGAGAAGGAACGGGGTGGTTTTTAGTCAGTTAAAGTCTGACACTCCCTCCCGCCTCACGCAGGCGGGTGCAGTCATTCGATGATCTTCACCCCTTAAAAAAAACACTTCTGTATAAAACAAACGTTTATGGAGTTAACCTGGTGGTATTCTCTAACAGTCAACCATAGGGAGACATTCATCGACACAAAAAAGCAGTAGGTCGTCTCACTAATATTATAAACTAGCGACCCGCCCCGGCTTCGCACGGGTGCAATATGCATGTATTATACATACAAACCTTCCTTAAGAATCACTCTATCTATTAAAAAAAACCGCATCAAAATCCGTTGCGTAGTTTTAAAGATCTAAGCATACATACGGACATACAGCGAAAGCGACTTTGTTTTATACTATGTATTGATGCCAAACTTTGTGTGTATGTTTGTTCCCTAATCACGTCAAAACAACTGAATTAATGGATCGAGGTTAGGAACATGGATAGATTATGGTCTTTTCTTTTAGGGGCGAGAGGGAGTGTCAGGCTCTTACTAACTAAAAACCACCCTGTTCCTACTCCTGCCTTTCGAGCCGGAGCCCCAGTAACCTATTAAGTCCTCCACGGCTCTGTATCAGCATCAGCCCTATTGGGCCCCATCTGTGGTACATAGATTATGGTCTGGATTTACACATACGCTACTTTTAATTCCACTGGAACACGAGTGATGCTGCTGGTAGAGGCTAGTACATATATATGTAGTGCCGAGGAGAACTTAACGGGTTACCGGGGCTTCGGCTCGAAGTGCAGGAGTAGGAACGGGGTGGTTTTTAGTCAGTAAGAGTCTGACACTGAACGCCTTACGCAGGCGGGAGGTGTCATTCGACGATTTTCCCCCCTTAAAAAAGTACATACATAATGTATTATGTTATACCTATCTATATAGACTGGAAAACCAATAAAATGAGTTCAAATGATATTTAACACTAGTTTATGTAAGAACAGCAGACTCGCTTATTGATGACCTTCGATGATAATAATCAATGCGAGGTAACAGTTTGTTTCCATTGCATTTAGGTGATTTGTTTATTATTGGCGATTGTAGTTGCAAATATGTAAAATAACTATCGTGAGACATAGGTACTAAATTAATAAAAAAAATATGGCCGAAGATTTTGCATACGGAAACCAAAGCCCTAAAATGTTGCATGATTTTTAATAACATTTAAGTTTAATAATTTTACTTAAAACTGTTACAATTTATTAATGATTGAATAATTGTAATTTACATAGCATCACGCCCTTTAGACGCTGTAGGGACAAACAGGGGTGCACTTATTGAATGTATCAAAGTGCCAATATAAATACACTCGCTTCCAAATTCCTAAGGACTATACGAAACTCGCATGTATCATCACAAATCAATCTCTAAACAGATATATCTATTTGATTTAATAAAAATATATAGATCACACTTATTGTAGATACTAAGGACGTTGAAAAACGGCAGATATATAATGTCTCTCACAAAAGATTGAAACACCGAATGTATGACGCGACAGATGTCCTTCATGTCAATGTGTGAGTTTTCTGCTATAGTCTATAGTAGCTAGGTGCCACAGTCGTTGTTTCAAGACACTATGTCCGCCATTTTTTCAACGTCCTTATATAACAAAGTACCAGTGTAAATAGAGTCGTTTCCGAATTCCCAGTGACTATACGAGACTCTTAGGTATTTTTTATTTTATCTAATCTGAAGGCTGAATCACAATACAATCACTAGACAGATATCTGCTACATCACAATACAATCATTAGACAGATCTATTTGACCCAATAAATATAGGCCACACTTACTCGATACCTAACCAACAAAGTATACGGACTCCGGACTCCATGGTAAATATTGTCTATTGGCTCAATTAGCCGTCGCTCAGCCTTGTGTGTAGTTTACCGACTGCAACTGATGACATAAACGATTGTAAATTACTTATTTATTTGTGCTGCTCTACACATTCATAATTTCATAGCAGGCTAGATATAAGGGGATATATAGAGCTTTGAAAAGGTGTTAATACAGGTAAGGGTGTAAAAGGAACGATCCTGAAGAAATAAAAACTTAAAAGCAAAAAATAACTATTATTAGTACTCATAGGTTACCTACCCACTGATAGGTTAGGAGTCGGCGCCATAGTCGGCGTTCTATACAAAATTATTCATAAAAACCTTAATAGATACCTAATATTAAGTTGTTGACAATTTTGTGACCATTAAATGATATTATAAGTAATATCATTTTGACATGAGCTTATGGCACTGACTTAATTCATTAAAAAACATAAAGCTACACATATAATATTAACAATCCGCTAAAAACCGCTATAAATATAATTCTATCATTTTTCTCCCTCTCTCTATCTTTGTCTCTCTATAGTCGTTCCCTCGTTTGTAAGGATCGTGGTCAGCATCAGAATTGCATGTGGAGCGGATGATCTGCTTCCAGTCCAGCAGTTTCTGTCCAATGCGTCTCTTACAGCCGTGCAGTTTTGAGGACGAACTTTTCACTTGATCGGTCAGTCTCGTTGAGGAACACCCACGCGATCTCATGCATTCAGTGTTTCCAACCGCACAATCAGCTTCTCCATTTAATTTTTGTTGAAGTTCAATTAAATTCACTAGACCAATACTTGTCGGTAAATGTATTGTATATGTGAAAATTTTATTATTTTCACATATTATCTACCTACCAATAAAAACTATAGGCCTACCGATAAGTTAAAGAATTACAATGAATGGAGACCTTATCCATATAAGAATAAGAGTCTTTTCAAATAAACTAACTACCTACGTTGTTACCCAAATAGTTGATAATGTCGTGATGATATTTATATTCTTTAAGCTCCTATGATAAAATTATTTGCACAAGTCTGCTTCTAGTCATCTTGGTCGTAGTAGTAACGTTTATTTCTCGACAGATACCAAGTTTCTAGAGATTTATTATTATTCATTTTCTCATGTCAGGCAAGGAAGTCAAAGCCTAATCATACATTTTGAATGAGATCCAATTGCCCCGTCTTTTATAAAATCGTGTCTATTGTTCATTGTAATAATATGTAAAGCAAGAAATTTTATGATTATGAATCTCTTTTCCTTCCCATTTTCAATAAAGGATCTTTCAATCATATTGCAATTAACTCAAAGAAAAGAACGAGCAAAATTCTAAGGATTTAAAAGTACTTGTACAATGAATACTTGTCAATTTAATCATTTTTGAAGAAGAAAAACGACATTGAAAAGTTTGGGTGATACTATTGAGTGCTATTTTACCATAATTCAATAAAACTTTTTAATACCTAGCAATCAATAGAGTATGGCATGCTATTGTGGTCTATTAATAAAATAATAGTCTCGTTTACCACATGTCTAGTCTCTTAATAAATATAATTTGCTTCCATCTTGTGGCCACTGGACCTTGATCGGTCGTCATCTAACAACAACATGCACTGTTCTGACATAATATTAACCTATAGTACCTACATGTAATGCATAATAATTATAATGTATCAATTTACATAGCATATTATTAGATTGTGGTAAACAAAGTACTGATTTTAATTGGTCGAGAAAATAATATTACGTTTGTGGTCTTTAAGTATTTACTTGTTAGATGTGTCTGGTTTCTAAGTACAGTTTCTGTAGTCAAATGTTTTTATTGTGAAAGTAAATGTTCTTGCTTAAAGTCGTTAGTATTATTATTATAGAAATTTATACATTTTTACGATACCTACGTCACGTTTATTGTTTGAATTTTGATCCTAACTTAAACAAATCCTAAAGCTAATGAAACAGAAGCCTTTTTAGAAGAATAAGTACCTACAGAAGTAAAATTAAATGACTTAATCATTTCAAATAACATTAAATGATTTTATCACTTCATTTTTACAAAATGTAATATGCAAATTGCAATAAACTATATTTCAAAATGTTAAATAGCATAAATACCTGGAAATAGGTAATATCGAAGCTTCATACAACCATGCATTATATATACAAAGCGACACAACTAGGTTCGTCTTTGTGGAAACTTACTTATTATTATTTGAAAACGTTCCAATAATTACTAGTTTTATTTACTTATTAAAACCATGTAAAAATATTTCATGTAAATTTCATGTAAAAAAAAATTAACACCTTTCGTTCATTAACAAAAAATACGAAATTCTTTTTACGACATTTTAGGGCTCTTGGTATTCATTATCCTAAAAAGAATAAAATAAATTATTAAAATAAATAAAATACCACAACCAAAATAATAATAAAAAAGATACATACCTTTAATCATTGTCACTAACTTTCTAATTTTAAATTAAATAAAATAAAAAATATGCTACACACATCAAACACCACACCACAATTATTCGACACTAAACCTTAAGATACCACATAAAAATTTAAAATATATATTTTTTTAAATAAACAACGTGTTTATTTTATGGAAACGTTTTATTCATCGCGCGTGCACTCATAACTAAACGTACCTACGCATCGCCCGGACGAACTAATGCGATATAAGAAGTACAGACAGAATACACATCATTTGAGGATAACTAATTAATAAAAATAGCCATTTAAATAATGATATGACACGTTTTTGTTTAAATAAAAGTAAATAATATCAACAAAGGGTATTGTGTTTAATTAACCTTGTCGGTGAAGCGATTGTAAATGCGACTGTCGAGCAAGCGATCTCGAGATTCGTCTGATTCCTGAGTTGTACACAATATTGTTTTTTTTTCAGTTAATTTCTCAATTACAGTGGTTGATCAAACTGGGTGTTTTATTAAACTCTCTTTTATTTGTTTTTTAGTAATGTATAAAGTTAATAAGTTTGTTTATTTAAAATCGGTAATCTCAGGAAGTACTGATTAATAATAAGTAATGTTGATAAATAAAAATTGCTCAACTTGATTCCCCCTACCCTAGTCCTTTCCATCATCGTACCACAAGATAATCGGCGAAGCATCACCGATTCATGGTAGATGTCCCACCCACACGCACGAAGCGCTTCGCATCAAGCCTCCTTGTCCGTACTGCTAAGGAGTGGAATTCTTTGCCAGAGTCTGTATTTCCTGAAGGGTAACCTGGGTGTCTTCAAGGCCCGAGTGAATAGGTTGCTTTTGGCTCGAGGTGCTCCATCGTAGGCCGCATCATCGCTTACCACCAGGCGAGATACCGTTTTGACGTAATTGAGTAAGAAATATACACACAAACTAGCACATTTATAATATTAGTATATATAAGCACATATAGGTGAGTAGTATCAGGGATTTAAGGATGTTCGTGTGACGTAATGAATTTTTATTTTGTGTATTTTGTTTTTTTGGTTATAATTAAGAAAAAGAAGTATACAGTAATAATTAAGAAGAAGTTTACAGAGCTTATATAAATGGGGCCGGCCGTAAAGGGCGCGCTAGACAGTCATACCTATATGTAAAGGATTGGCGACATATTAAAGAAGGGACAAATTAATAGTACTCTAAACCGACGAGCATACATGAAATGATTGACGACTTTGATGAAGCGAGAGAAGTATGTAAATATCCTAGCAATTGGCGTTCCATAGTCTCTGCCTACCGCCATGGGAGACAGGCGTGAGGTTATAATAATATATGTAATTATTATAAGCATTTACTTAATTGTATTTAATAGTATGGGTGTTTTATTTTCATTAGATAATGTGAAATTATAATTACTCATCTGTTAATGAAGTAATTAGATAAGATTACCTTTGGGTATTTATTGGTTTCATTACAATAGTTTTAATTTTTAAGTAATTTAATATTTCTTTGATAGTTTTTTTTTTTTTTTGGTAATTATTGTGGTTTTCGGCTTACTCACGTAATTATTTGACGAGGAACTCGACTAGTTTCAAACCATGGTAGAGGCCCATATTCATTATCAGCATTCAAGGACAGTCGACGCAGCGACTGTTGCGCAGCTGACGCAATGACTTCTACAAACTCCTCTTGGGGGAATCCAGATCAGTCTCTAACATGGCTTGAAATAAATGGGGCCCAGTAGGGCTGATGCCCGATACGGAGCCGCGGAAGTCCTAACGGGTGGTTGCTTGGGCTCCGGCTCGAAGAGCAGGAGTAGGAACGGAGTGGTTTTCAGTCAGCAAGAGCCTGGACGCTCCCTCTCGCCCAACCCAAGGCGGGAGAAGCCATTGGATGATTTTAGCCCTCAAAAAAAAAGCATGCCTTGAAACTAGCAGAGTTCCTCGTCAAACAGTTACGTGGGTAAGACGAAAACATAATAAATAATTGTCCAACGTAAACGTCTAACTATCGTGAGACATACTAAATTAAGTAAAATCGTGGGTTACTCACGTGAATATACTGAGAAAAGCTCTACTAGTTTCGAACCACAGATGGGTTCTTCCTCATGAGCAGCGTGCGCGGTCGCGGCGATGTCGCGCAGCTTACTCCGTCTGTGGATCGAAACTAGTAGAGCTTTTCTCAGTATATTCACGTGAGTAACCCACGATTTTTAGTTAATATTATTTATTCTTAAAATATGTTTATGGACTTTATACTTATTTTGGCTGAAGGTAGATGAAAAAAAAAGATAAAAACATTATTCAAAAAAGCAGATTTCATTGTGCATACAACACCTGGTAGGATTACAGTAAAAAGAAAATTTGAATAAGTAGGTACTGATAAAATAATATTTTTCTTAATTATTTAATACTATCTTTGTTAGTACAGCGCATAAAAAGCAATACTTGTTTACTTTTTGTCGGCTTTTCTTGTTTATTACATAATAAATTCGATTATTATGCATAATTGCGAAACTAAGTAGATTTGGTATATGCAATTTCGGAAGTCAGAATCAAGAATATCACAAAAACATTAAAAAACTTACTTAAATGAATTAAGAGGTTTCAAAATAAACAAGAAAGGTGAAGGTTAAGATTAAAAAACGAGAAAATAATAATTTCGAAAGCAACAATACTTAATTTAGACACCATTGACAAACGGTGAAGGAATACATCGTAAGGAAACCTGGGCTTAATTCCCGCATTGAGCAAGCGTGGTGATTAATGCTCTAACCTTCTCTGTGTGAGAAGAGGCTTTGCTCAGCAGTGGACATTTATAGGCCATTGATGACCTTTTTGAAATAAAGTCATTTAAAAGGACGACTTTAAAACGATAACCTCACTCAATCTTTTGAGTAAACAGAGGATTTCTTTGTTTCGTTACCAGAGGTCAAGGTTATCGGAGGCCCAATTACCCCCCCCCCCAATCTCTTCTATCCTTGAACCCCTAACATTCCTTAAATTCCTAACTTATCCCATAACAAGAAAGACGTTGAATAAATGAAGCAAGAATGCTTTTATTTGAGGGGAGAAAATCATCCAATGTAGGTATTAGGTAGCCGGGAGAGACAAGAGGCAGTGTCAGACTCCTTATAGGTACTAAAATGACTGCCCTTTTTGCGATGATTTTCACTCCTTAAAAAAAATAGGTACTAAAAAGTAAAAACCACCCCGCGCCTACTCCTGCACTACGACCCGAGGTCCGGCAACCCGTTAAGTCCTCTACGGCTCCGTATCGTCATCACTCATCAGCGCCATCTGTGGTGGTCTGATGGCTCTATGAGGTGAACGCGACGCGATACGCCCATGCTCGCCGTCTGCGAGATCGTTGTCGATGGCCAGAGATCGTAGGCAATAATCCTTAGAGTAATATATAACAACAATAATATTTTCAAATCAAATATATTTTAGATTGTTTTCACAACCGTACTCGTTGATACCTAACGTAACTGATAGCGTTATCAGTTATCTGTCCTATGTCCTGCAGTGACCTTTATCAGCCGACATATTACGGCCGTGATAACATGGACTTTCACCTAAATTGCCCACTTACGTTGTGTTTAGATTACGTGTCATAAATCGATAATAGGTAGACGATAACTCTATTTATTTCTTTTTGGTGACTTGGATGTAGAGTGCTTGTTAGCATAGCAGCTCAGGTGGCTTACTCTTGAATCCAATTCCGATCGATCGACATTGGTTTTGCGAAATTTCGTACTCTTGAGTTGCAACACCAGCGCCCATTGCATCCGTATTGCGTGACTATTTAATGAACTAAATGGTATCGAGTTTGGCTATATACTTCGTACTCTGAATGCTATTTTAACAGCTACGATTGTGGTTGTATAGTATTGACATTGAATAATTATTAAGATTCTATTGGACTGAAATTGCATTGACATTGATATTGGTTTTAAGAGTAAGCCCCCAGGTTGGGGCATCCAGTTCTATATCGAGTAAGTTAGACAAAACCGGCTCGACCGGAGTGATACCACGGCCTCACAGAAAACCGACGTGAAGCAACGCTTGCGTTGTGTTTCGTCGTGTGAGTGAGTTTACCGGAGACCCAATTACCCTCCCCTTCCCCAATCTTCCCAATCCCTGAATCCCCATCGATCCTCAAACTCCTAATCCCCAAAACGCCGGTAACGTACTTGTACTGCCTCTGGTGTTCCAGGTGCCCATGGGCGACGCCGATTGCTTACCATCAGGTGATCCGTCTGCTCGTTTACCGGCTTATGTCATAAAAAAAAGTGTTATTAGAATCGAACTGTGAGTCCTAGAAATAAATAATTTATTATGTATCTATAGAAACAAAAATGAATTTCCGTTCGTTAGTCTCGCTAAAACTCGAGAATGGCTGAACCGATTTGGATAAGTCTAGGGACGCTTTAAAAGGGAGAAAATATTTTCCCCCCTCAAAAAAAAAAAAAAAAAAGGCAGTATGATGTTGTTTGCTGGGTCATCTAGTTACTCATATTATTTTTTACCAGAGGCCTTAGTACGAGTTTCGTTTTACGTTTAAAGTAATCGTAACGAGTACGCGTTCGTTCGGCGCTCTGATTGGTTGGTTTATTGGCGCCCGCCAATCAGAGGGCTTAGTATGATTTTATTTTTCGTTTAAAGTATTCGTAACGAGACAGCGTTCCGTGCTCTGATTGGTTTGTTAATTGGAGCCGGCCAATCACAGCGCCGAACGCGTACTCGTTACGTTTACTTTATACGTAAACGAAACTCATACTAAGGCCTCTGATAACCTGATTATAGGAATTAGGAACTAGGAAGGGTACTATTGTTGATAAGCAAGTGCCATTTTGATTTTAATTTCTCAATATAAGCATGGATAAGCATAACTGACTGAAAAAATCAAATGTATAATACCTAAGTAGTCTTCTACATTCCCGAGGACCATTATGTTTAGGTACCCCATACCAGTATCTAGACAAATAGAGACCTACTTACAATGTTTTAGTGTTTAAAAAGAAGCTACCTAAATGTTGACTAACGTTACACAAATATAAAGATACGTGAACAAATCCTTGTCACAACAATACCTACTGATATGACCTAGTTACGTCGAGATCGTGAGGTCTAGTTTAAATATTTAATTGTTATTTATAGTCCTAATAAGTTTATCTAAAAGTGGAGTAGATAGGTGCGTACGTACCTATTAGATATTTTACGGTAACTAGTAGTACCTAGCTACATAGATCATCCGTCACATCAACAGCCTATAATCCCCACTGCTGAGCGTAGCTCTCACATGGAGAAGGTTTGAGCATTAATCACCACGCTTCGTCAATGTGGGTTGGCATAGATAAAACCATGTGTGTCTAAACGTGGATCCACGGGAGACACAATGTATTTTTTTTATGGCATAAGCCGGTAAACGAGCAGACGGATCACCTGATGGTAAGCAATCGACGTCGCCCATGGACAGTTGGAACACCAGAGGCGTTACAAGTGCGTCACCGGCTTTTTGGGGATTAGGAGTTTGAGGATCGTTGGGGATTCAGGGAGAGGGGAGATTGGGGATGGGGAAGGTAATTGGGCCTCCGATAACCTCACTCACACGACGAAACACAACGCAAGCGTTGCTTCACGTCGGTTTTCTGTGAGGCCGTGGTATCACTCCGGTCGAGCCGGCGCATTTGTGCCGAAGCATGGCTCTCCCACACTTAAATTGTATGTTCTATTGTGTCTCATATCGGTGCATTCAAGCAGTTAAATCTCAATAGATACTTCACTTTTAATAGGAATTTATGAATTTTTAAGTACTTGTGTAGGTACCTAAAAAAATAGCAAGGGATTCATTTTTTTATTTAAGTTCATTCTCACATGAAAATGATCTTGGTAGATAGATAAACAGGTATGTTAGGAAGGCAGGTATGCAGTACCTATGCAATAAACGATGATGTTGCCAAAAATTATATCATAAGAAGCGACTGTGCCATAAAAGTTAACTAGAAATATGAAAAATTATTCAAATTGTTAACTACCTACATAATTTCGAAAGTTTATTGATAGAAAAATGGCAAATGCCCAGCATGGACCTATTGCCCCAGGATTTTCTCCTGTGTCGTGCTTCGATCAAAAATAGCAACTAGATAAAGGGTTACGTACAAAATCAAGCTCCAGTTCTGTCCGTGTGAATAATAATAGTAAAAAAATAACAAACAGAGAAAAATGTTTTAAAATAGTTTTAAGTTCAACCTAATAACAACCATGGCACCTAATAATAAAGTCATAAATCTTCAAAATATTATCTAATAGATACTTACAACCATTCGTCACATAAGACGAGAAAAGCATTTTTTACTCCAAACGCGCCAACCGTGTAGTCAGACGTTCAGGGTCTCCAGAGCTCCTATTCATATGCTCTATATATGATGGGAATCCGATGAAGTGAATGTTACCGCCATCTGTCTACGACTATTTGACAATGCAAATCATTGTAGTTACATGATATGTGTCTAGGTGGCGCTAATGTATGACTGCAGTGGGTCTTGCATAATACCCCGAAATTAATTTCGAAAGATTAAAAGCGTTTCAAATTATTTTAATATCTAAACTTGATTTAGTAATTACAAGTTATAATTTATTTGATGACCTAATAATAAAATGTTAATGAAAAAAGTCTAAAATAAATCTTTATTAAAAAATTGTCGATGGGTGTTTTAAAATGTCAAACTAAATGCTAATAGCCTTTTGGCGGCGGGAAATTTTTAATTTGATAGTTGTAAGTACATATTTTCATTTTCAGCCAAAACATATTTTAACATTTTGTAAGTATTGTTATCATTTGAATTGAGTATTAAATTCATTTGACATTGTTTAGTTTTGATTGGGTTTGGGTATAGCTTTTATGAAAACTATTCTATTTGTAATGCTTTTGCTTTGACTTTATTGCTGGAGTTCCCCGATAAATAAATGAATGTAAGTTTTAGTTATTTCAAACTATTTTATTAGGCATAGGTAATGGTAACCTACCTACATATTAGCAAAACTTTTTTATTTATGCGCAACGCTATCTGACTCTCTCGTAATATTTCCATACCCTATAAAAAATATTTGTTTCTGATAATAGTCTCCTACTCAAATTCGATTTTAATTTCTCCCAGTCGCAGTCCCAGGTTTAGCGAAATGCGACGGTTGGTCGGCTCCCGGGCTCTACGATTGGTTCGCTCTCTTTCTCCCGTAGCGAATCCGTTTCATTTTTCATTCGCGCTCAATGCGTCCGCTACTGCGACGCGTTGTGGGTTGTGACAGCCCGTTGTCTATGGGAGTGTTTGCTCGTATTGAATTTGTGACAAAATATTACATGTACGGTGAATTACGGGAAATTATTTGATTTCTCGCATGACAGTGAATAAAATAAGCATTTGAATATGGCGTTGGAGGGTGTGAAAAGTGAAAAGAGTGATGAAAACAACGGCAACGTACCAGACGGCAAGGCGAACGGGATCGACAACAAAAGTAAACAGGTACCGATATGACTTTTTAATTTATTTTTTTCACTGAGATTTTTCGCATCCTGTGACCTCTGAGCTCCGCCGTATACTCAGGAGGAATTGCAGTTCTTATTGGATTTTTTAAAGCGTCCATTTCGCTTGGAGTTGAGTAATAATACCGGTTAATCGGGGCACTGCGGAATGCAAGGGTGTTTTCGCGCACAACGTATGACTGAGTATACTCGGGAAAGGTGGTCACTCTAAAAGGGGATATGACCTATTTCAGGCGCAACTATGCGGCGTTTTTTTCTGGGTTACTGCCGATTTTCGGTCAAATATGATGTCATTGTGGATCACGCCTAAATATATATTTTATGTCCGGCTGTAGAGGTTGACCGACGACGTCGTATTTTTTTAACAACATTACCTGTTTTTTCTTTTATTATAGGAATTCGCATGTCTTGCAATATCTCTAAATTGTTGTCACACAGTATAGTTATTTGTCTCATTGATACCATCAATTTATTTGTCCCCATACAAATTGTTTGGCCTTGAATCTGTGATCTGCATGAGGAATCAAGGCTAGTGATTTTATTTGAACTAGTTTTGTTAATAGCTTTATGTAACATGGCAATAAAGCTTAGATTGATACAAAAAACAGTAGCTACTTTGTACTTGTCTGTGATTAAAAAAAGGAATCACATTATTTATAAAACAGCTTGACCAAAAGTGATCATCTTCAAGGTTCTTTTTTTATTTATTATAAGAATGGTTAAAACCCAATTTTGAATACCAAATATTATAATTAAAAATCACATTTATGGTTTGTAAAGTCAACCAATTATAAAAGGTGGACTCTACAAAAATGACCTTTAAGAAGTATGTAGGTGTAGCAATTAAATCTATGGTATTCCCTGTCTATTATAGCATGTGTTATGAAGTTTATTTCAGAAGTATGTGTTAAAAAGGCCACTCTAATTGACCTAGTCTGCCGACCCAATTAGAACTATGGACCATCTCAATGAGATGTCAAATCATCATCACCCACTCATAATATTCTTTATGATAAAATACAACTTGTTTTGAATGCCATTGATGAGCTGAATTTAATGGTAGTAAACAAAAATATTAGAATTGTATCGATTGTTTGTTGAACACATTTTGTTTCAACTTGTGCTAAGTAGATTTATTGTAATCCGTGGTAACGCCGTGAGGAGTGTATTTGTTAAATCTATTATTTTACTCACCCGTGTTATATTTAATGTACTGCTGTTTGTTGTCCTTGATAAATAAAATAAAATAAATTAAACTTCGAATAGAAGATATTTCGTTCATTGTTGTTGGATAAAATCTCAAAAATAAGAGGTGTAGATGTGTACTACATTTTTTAAGCAAATCTCTATAATCTGCTGAGAAAACTTAATATTTATGAATTGATAACTAAAAGAAAAGCTGCCTATTCTATACTAAAAAGCAATATTTTGATGACAAGACTACATGTAATGAAGAATCTGATCAACTACCTACTTATTCAAAGTAATTATCCAATATACATGTCAGATCATATTTACAGATTGTTTGTGTCATACTGCTAACCTACCTACACAGCTGTATAATGAGTATTAGTTCATATAACTACATGACATCACTTGCGAGGCTTGCCAGCATTCATGGTGTAGTCCTTGCTATTATTGCAACTAATAATAATACTTAATTATAGACATTTCGTCATCAGATGATCTCTATCTTGTATGGAACTATGAAACTGGAAAAAAAGTACCATTGCATCAGATTATTATGGGAAAAGACTTATAAGATAGAAATGATGATGATATGAACAAAATTATACAGGAAACTCCAAATTATTTGAGGACCAAAATATCTACATGACCTACAATTACCTTGTTGGTAAGGTCACGTAAACAGATCACTAAAGAACGACACATGCACGCAGTTTAAAACATGACAGCTTTGTCGTTTCCAAGTCTGTGAAGTTTTCAAAACTGCCGTAATTGCGATTTATAGTCCGAATTCTAAAGAAAATATATCAGCTTATTCATATTCCTTTTTACTTCTATTAAATCATTTGTAATTCAACAGGATGGAACTAAATCTATTCGTAGGTCTAAATACATTAAATATCAATTTCATTGCGCAAAATTTCTCTTAGCATATGATATTTTTAAAATACACAAAAATAAACAATAATAATAACCTTATTAACTCAAAGAAATCCAAAAAGACGTAAAATCCAAAATCGTACAATGAACTATGGTCTCCTACAAAAGAGGAACGAGTCTGACGGATGACGCAAAAAGGCGGCATTAAGATCTTTTTGTTACACAAAACATCTGCAGCATTATTACACAATTCGAGTAATGTCGCAATCTGGGTTCCGTTGTCCTAATTCAGCCATTCATTCATTTTTTATGAGTAGGTACCTACACGTTTATATTGCATGGTGGGTAGGTCACGGGCCTTGTTAATATCCTCTAACCTTGTATTATGGTAACTACAGCTACAGATGTGATCCTCTACAATGGATAAAGCTGAAATCTAAAGTCAGAATTCCAAGGAAATGAGGAGTTCCATGACAAACACCAGCAATAAAAGTGATGTAATGTTTTCATGTACCGTCGAATTCTGGCAACTTCGATTGGATACCGTTGCTGTTGCCATTACTATTTCTTTAACAATTTACGTATATTTTATCGTCAGCTAATATCCGAACATTCGCACATGAGTCAGAAGTCTAAAATGTAAATTGTGAAGTTACTACTAGATTTCGTTGTACACTAGCGTAAAATTTGTCTGGTAGAGTCCTCATTACCTACTTAAATGTACCATATCCTTAATTTTCACAATGATTGTTATGATTCATGTCTGCGGTCAAGGTCGTCTGAGATCCATGACGTTATGATTGTACTATTAGATACTGTGGGTACCCACAGGGCGTGGCCGACCCACCTTGCGGTTTATTCACTAGAAAAATCGTTATTCCACTCATAATGGAACCATGAAGTTAGTAACTAAATGGTGAACCAATCCAATAACTCAAGTCACATAATTGCTGCGAAGTTGGTAGAAAACATTTATGTTTTCTCTCAGCGTAGGTACAGTACAATTGATTAAGGAGCTTTAATTTATACCTCGTTCGAAGAAATTTTAAGGTTTTAGATGGATTCTTTACGCGTTAAACATTCGCAAAGCGTTATTGAATCAAAACAGTTCGGGCGACCTTGAGAGATTTCTCCGCTTGACATGACGTCAGCCCTCGAGAGGGTGGAGGGACCGGAGGGATCGAACTTATCGCGTAAGTACCATCCCCGAGCTCTGCAGCCGACAACTGGAGAGCCGTCGTAATAGATTATGGATAGTATTGTTGTTCGTGAATATTTATATGAATCCCACAATGCAGGGGAGACCATGAAATAATGGTTGCCAAACGCACAAATTGCCTACTAGACTGAGAAAGATTAATGTACCTAAGTGGTTAAATAGTAGGGTGAACCGCTAGTTTCGTCATCGTGTGCTCTAGTAGAAGAAATGTAGAAGAAATGTAAGTTTTAATATGAAACGTTCCTCAAGAGATCGCATGTGTTTTCCGTTAAAGGAAATTAAACTTTGTACCAAGAAATTCGAAGCCACGAAGAAGCCTTACCACTGAGTCTATCATGGACTGGTTAAAGTTACATGGAAAGGAACAGCTACATAATTATCCTTTCTATTGTGAAAGCAGATATCTGTTAACTAAACAGAAATACGAAGTGGAAGTTATGTAGGATATCGGCGAGGTGTTATAAATAAATATGCCACGGAGAAGAGGAAGAGTGTAAGCGTAAATGAATTGGATTATTCCACAAGAACTCACGACACCCTTCTGTAATGCGCCAGTGAAGTTCATTTATCAACCATGCAGCTAAACGTTAGCGAAAAATGTCTGAGGTTTTATATTTACAAATCGTTCCACTTCGCCTGTCTTACATGTTGCCAAATATCCTTTCTTAGTTTTGAAAACCATTTACTGTTTAGATATGCATCTAAAACTGCAATCAACTATTTACTAGAAGTTATGAATAAGAAATTGTCGTAAATACGAGTTTCACTTGTACGTACAAAGCAATTTACAATGTACAATGTTGAACAGTTATGCATATCAATTGATCCATTGAAGCCGTAACGAGTATGTAACACTCTAATCGATAGTAGAGCCATTGTTGACAAACTACTACGCTGCGCGGGCGCATCCGTTGTTATCTGTCGTCTGCGGTTAATGAAATTGTTAACACTTTATCTGTTACCTGTTAACGTAAACATGTGCTATAATTATCTAACAAGATGTGAGATAATGAAATACTTAATGAGATTTGCTTCATTAACTTTCTCGCTGAACTGCGCAGTTTTAGTTTGTTATTTTATTATGGTAACCAATAAAACTGGCGTACCCTTTGTCTGTGCCTTTTAATCCATTTGTTTATACTTTGCCCGATACTCTATCTAACATGTTTCGCTACGAGTGAAAGTGTTCTCTGACATTTTGTTATTGTCGGCTGGCGGGCAGTTTATTTTAGTACAAAATGAAAGTAAAAAGGTAGAGCAGATTAACAAATGACATTTAGAAAATGTCGAGGCATTAATTGTCCACTTGGAGAAACTTAGTATCTATTCAAGATCTGAGTCTGAGCAAACGGTCGATTTAAATGGAAGTCTGTTGTCCGATACTGTACTCGTTTATTTCATTTAACAGGGAAACTGATACATTGATTCCGTGCAAATTGTAATGAAGGAAAAAATTCCATGACGTACCACAAAGTGCGTCGAAAATAATCGATCTGTTACCAATACCGGCACGCGTGCACAAGTGGAGGGTTATTTCGGTAGTGTTATCTAAACATGCCACAGTTTCTGATATAACTCGATCTTAATCACCTGCTACTTGTTCCTGTCATCGAACATCCATAATTGAAGATGAAAAACAACCTAAAACTATCTAGCAAATTGTAGTAGCGTGCTGTGGCTATGATGTAACTAGG